GGAGGAGGAGGAGGTGGGGGGGAGCTGGTCCCGGTGGCCGTGGGGCGCAGCGAGCAGGGGATGGGCTTCAGCGTGACCGCGGGGGGCCAGGGGGGCCGGCTGGCGGTGGTGAAGAGGGTCTGGGACCGGCGGCAGTGCCCCTCCCTGCAGCCGGGGGACGCCATACTGAAGATCAACGGGGCCGACGTGCAGAGCCTGAGCTTCGCCCAGGTGCAGAGGGTTCTGCAGGAGCACACGCATCAGGGGGAGGTGGTCCTGCTGGTCTACAGGGGAGGTGAGCTCCGTCCTCACATCTGCGCGATGGGGTCCTTCGGTCTGTGAGAGCTACTGGTTATCATCTACCAGCTTTTCTCTCTCTCTCCCCTCCCCCCACCCCCCACCCTAGGGTCCCTGCGATCCCCGCTGTCTCCCGGGATACCTAAAAGGACCCCCCATCTCTTACAGCCGCTCGCCCCCCAGAACGGTGCCCCCCCTGGTGGTGGGGCGGCGTTGCTGCCCTCCCCCGAGGGCTCTGCCCCCCAGCCGGGCACGACGGGTGGGGCCCCCGACCTCGCCCCCGCCGCGACCCCCGACCTCATCCCCTCGCCGACCTCCCTGGTGCAGAGCACCAGCTTCCTGGACTCGGTGCCCGTCACCCTCACCCTGGAGCCCCGCGACTGGCTGAGCCCCGAGGAGGGGGGCCGGGGGGCGGCGGGCGGGCAGGGGGACTGGCACGGCGCCCTGGTGTCCCGCACCGTGGAGGTGGAGCTGCGCCGGAGGGCGGGCGAGGGCTTCGGCTTCGTCATCGCCTCGCAGGACGCGGAGAGCGGCCGAGGTAGGGGGAAGAGGAGGAGGAGGGTGGAGGGCGAAGCCGCACGGGGCAGGGCGGGGAGGGGAGGCGAGAGGGCGACCGCAGAGACAAGGAGAGAGAGAGAGGGAGTAACGAGCCGTCAGACGCTGTTCTCCGCTTTCCTGCACACAGACGGCCCCAGACACGCACGCTCTCTCCTCCTGAAATATTTATGCAGGCGTCCTCACAGACCAAGTAAAGGTTCATTCCAGGCTGAAAAGAGAAGAAAGAAAACACCACGTTTCAGGTGGCGACACCTGAAGAAGGCTCCGCAGCCGAAACGTTGCGTTTTCTTTCTTCTCTTTCCAGCACGGAATAAACCTTTACTTGTTCTTTTGCAGCCTACGCGTGCCGACACGGCCACCCGCCTGAACTACATTCTCACAGACCTGTGCGCTCCGGCCCAGCCTCACCCGGCTCCCTCTGCCTCTAGTATTAATAGCGTTTTTTGCTGCAAGGAAGACATAAAATCAGTCTCCCATTCCACAGCAGATTCACCCCTTCCAGCTTCTGCGCTGGGCTACCGGTGTTTGTTTCCAAACCAGGAGCGAGAGTCTGATGTCTCGATTGCTACACCAGGTCTCTGTAGTTGATGCACCGTTGTGGGAAGGGGGGTAGTTATGTTAAACCCTGGATATACAAAACACCTGCAGTGTGAGACTGAAAACAGATCTCTTAATTAGTCTTCCTAAAACAGCAGGACACTGTCTTATTGCCCCTGTGTGCGGTGGGACAGCTCACGTGTGGCTGGATAGCGCGCAGCTCGAGACACAGAAAGGTCACTTTCCAGGCTCATTCTGTCCCCTGTGTTAAAGTGTTGCTGACCTTATTGTGATTTTATTCAGTGATTTACCTCACCATACCTGCACAACTGTTCCTTGTCCTCACATTTCATGAGAATAATGCAATACCATTAGACACCTGGCACGGGTCATACCCTAGACGGAAGGGGATTGGTCTTCTAAGCAAGGAAGCAATAATTCATCCTAAAATATTGCCTGGGCGGCACAGCGGCGCAGTAGTTGGCCTTGCTGCTTCTGAGCACTGGGGCCCTGGGGCTCAATTCCTGGGGTGCTGTCTGCGAGGAGTTTGCGTGGGTTCTCTCCAGGTGCTCCGCAGGGACATGCAGGGAAGTGTGTGTGTGTGTGAATCTGTGTGTCTGTGTGGGCGCCCTGTGATGGACTGACGGCCCGTACAGGGTGTACCCCGCCTTGCGCCCGCTGCTTGCCAGGACAGGCTCCCGCTCCCCCGCTCCCCCGCGACCCTGAACTGGGAGAAGCGGTTTAGAAAACGAATACAAGCACGGAAAACACCTCCCTTAACTGGCCTGCTTTCACACACTGGCCTGTTGTACATCCCAGCACAGTGCTGGTCAATCACCATCTCGGACTCCCTCCCACTCCTGCCCAATACCCTCTCCATCCGTCTCTCTCAGCTGGGCTCAGCCCCCTCCCCCCTCTCTCTCTCTCTCTCCCCTCCCTCGCTGCCGCCCAGGCTCAGCGGGTGGAGTAACGTGCCGGCAGCGCTCTCTCAGCCCATCAGCCACTGGAGCGGGTCTGGCGCCGAGCCCTGCTATCCTGGCGATTGAGAGAGAGAGAGAGAGAGAGAGAGAGAGGGGGGGGAGTCTGAGAGAGGGTCCAGTCCAGCCCTTCGTCATCTCCGCGATACTCGGGGTTGAAAGTGACCGCACGGGAGGGGAACCGGACACTGCACACACGCGCACAAGCCCGCAGGACAACGCACACACCGAGCCATGCTGGAGAAACTGCAGTCTGCCCTGAAGACCGTGAAGGACTCCAGACGTAATTATCGTACCGCTTCTCCGCGCTCGGAGCTCAGTGCTCAGTCTGTGTTGTGGCAGCCGTGCGCCTCACTGTTAGGACGGTCGGTCGGTGAAGTGATGGAGCGTTGCGTGTCGGAGTCAGCCTGTCTGCGTGTGTGTGTGTGCGGATTACCGCTGCCCACGTCGTGAGGCTGACCTCCTCGTCTCTCTCTCTCCCCTCGACGCTGCACTTCTGCATGCTGGTGCCAGTTACATAAACCTTTGTGTGATTTTCTCTCTTTTCAAGTAGCTCCTGTGAAAGGATGTCTGTTGGGCGCTCTGCTTTGTGATTATCACCAAAACGAAGGAGTTCAGTCGATAATCCAAACAGTACCTGAATCTTGTACCTAATATCGGGCTACATTGTGACACCTGTAATGTGGAGCGTTCAGTGAACTGTTTTTGTGGGGGCCGCAGTCCTCTTGTGGAGAAAAAGGATGAGAAAGTATATTTTACTGCTCTCTTGCAGCTCGTGTTGGTGTTGGGGGTCTGTGCTTGTTGGGAAGTTTGTTCAGTGTCTGAACAGCTAGCACCTGGAGTCCCTGCGGTTGTGTAATGTCTGTGTGTGTTGACTTTGCCCTGACTACCCCTCAGTAGATCATCATTACTGTCAATATGTTTATTGTCATCTTTTTACTAGTATCGCTGTGATTACAATGTTTTTATGAATATTACAATACATGTTTTGGTTGTGTAATATTCTTCTGAATATACTATTGTCATTTTGTAACCGTAACTGTTACAGACAGTCTTGTGCTGTGAATCAGTAGCAGCACAGGAATTACTGTTGTGTTTAATTCTCTGGTTGACTGAGTTATGTGCAGTCTGGTGTGGTGTGCAGGTCTAGTGTACAGTGTACTGGGACAGCAGTGAGTGCAGACTGGCTTACAGGGTCTGTACTGGGACAGCAGTGAGTGCAGACTGGTTTGTAGAGTCTGTACTGGGACAGCAGTGAGTGCAGACTGGTTTATGGGGTCTGTAGTGGGACAGCAGTGAGTGCAGAAACTCAGTCAGCCCCCCTTGGTTTGGGCAGGTGTGTGGGACAGATGAGAGGAGTGTGGGGTTGTGCTGTAGTCTGAGAGTATCTGCAGTAGTGGAATTTGCAGTGGGTTTGTTCAGTGGTTAATGGCTAACAGAGTTCAGAGCAGGAATGTGAGAGAGGTGAGATTTTAAAGGGAAACTGCAGTCCCAATTGAAATCTCAGTAGCAAATTAATTCATCGACGTTACAGAAGCAAATTACAAATTTCAAATTAAGTACAAAATCGTGAACTTTGTGAAAGTACCATGAGTCTCCATATTGCCGCAAACAAACATTCAAGTTCCCACGAACTGAGACGTGATGCAGCCGTTCCTGCTCACTGGTCACCATAATGACCCCACTCCCAGCGCTTCTACAGGTCATGGGGGTCCCCTCCACCCCCACCAGTGTGCAGCCCCACCTGGACGATGCTCCAGTCCTCTCCCCACACAGCAGCCCTCAGTGGGGAGGAGAGCAGAGTGATGAAGCCAGTTCAGAGAGGGGGGGTATTAGGAGGCCATGACTGGTAAAGACCAGGGAGAAATTTGGCCAGGACGCCAGGGTAACACCCCTTCTATTTAGCCTGTTAGTGGATCAAGTCAGGCCACCTCCGTTCAGCACTGCGGCAAGTTTGTGGAGGGCAGCGCGCAGGAGACTTTGTGTGTGCTTGGACTGGCGGGATGTTTCTCATGTGCTTCCTGGGGTTGACGAGGTGCTTCTGATCCTTTGTTTACGGGGAAAAAGCAAGAGATGGTGACAGGAAAAGAGCGATCAGCCTCCCGTTGCGCAGCGTTTTGATCCATTCAGTATTTTACTATGAGCCACAGGCTCCTTACTTTTATCCCAAACAGAAGTACTCATAAATGTGATGTTACAGCACAGTTAATCCACATGGATCTAACTGCTGTGCATCAGGAGTCCAGCTCTTACCTGGGGTAAAGGACAATGAGTAAATGGTTTTGTCTAGCCTGGACCAACTCTGTCCCAGTCTCTTGTGGTCTTATTGAGAGGGTTGTCCTTCTGAGGGACTCCCTGGGAATGCTGTGTGGGATTTATCCTGGGATAACCTCTACCTGGTGGCAGGTGGTTGTGGGTTCAAGTGTTCAGTGTGGACGTTCCTGTAGTATCTTTGACCAAGATACTTTACCCCAGTCCTTCCAGTCAGCCAAAAAGAATTCACTGGTGGAGAGGAGTTAACCTGTTGTGCTGTGCTACTCAACTTGCAGGCCTTCCAGTCTGCTCCATTCCAGGATGTTGATACAGCCAGCTAATTGCCATATCGATTTTTCTGATCAACCAGCTATGAAATGTGTGGAGCTGGATGTATCGAAACAAACACACCATACGGTAACAAATTCAGTGCCCAGTACCCAGCAAAGTAAAAAATGAGCACAGTAAACCAAAAGGAAGCCTAGCTCGTCTGAGCAGTGACTGCACTTTCTTGACTCCTACTCAAGCAACACCGCCAGGCTGCGTAACAGCTTGTCCTTTTCATAATGAAGGCTCTCCTGGACACTCGTCTCCGAACAATCCTCAGAGGCTCTTCCAAAAACTCGTGCTTTACGTCCCTGAGCTCGTCTGTCCATTTGTCCATCCTTCCAGTGTTCCCTCCTTTCTTTCCTATCTCCCTCTGCTTCCTGGTTTTAAAAGTCACCTGACCAATAGTGTTCCTGCAGCTGGTCATGTGTCTGGGGATGGCAGGTCATTCCCCACTGACCTTCAGCCTCTGACATCACGTAAACATCTGCTTCCTCTTGAAATCGCCATGACCCTGCGCGACTCTCCCTGTAGACAGGTAGTTAGGTAGGCGGGCAGACAGGTAGACGCTGTTTCTAGACCTCATTCACCTATGGCACTGGTTGATTCTGCCAGGGGCCCTGCCATATTAAAATGAGCACGCTCAACTCAAGAGATAATAGACCTGCGAGGAGGCCGCTGTGATTGGATGACCCCAGCTGTGGCTCACAGATCCAGGTGTGCTGTGGGTGTGCTTGTGTTGCAGAGGTCAGTCATCACAGAATCTGGTCAGCCTGGAGCCCCACACCCTCGTAAACCTAAAGGTTTCATAGGTCTACACCCTAATAAAGAAAGAAGAAAATAAATTGAAAGGTGGTTAGAATATTCTAACTGTTCCAGGCCTCGTGCACACTGGGGCTCTGGGGCACCGTCAGCCGTGGATAATGTGAATCAATTAGGTTTATCTTTCATTTAATTTCACTGTGACGTTCTGCAGTTACACACGTGTGCACGTGCATACAGTATATATACACAGATACACATCTGTGCACACATGGGTATACAGAATAGGCACAGGTATGCACATGTAGAGGGCAAACATGATGTTTACACCACGGGGGAGGGAGGGTAGTGGGAAAATGGACCGTGTGTGTGCGTGTGTGTGCTTGCGCACACAGAGCCACACATACCTGACTGGTGCGGCACTCTCTGTAAATAGGTCACAGCAGGCCAGTGTACTGCTGAACCCTGGGGTCTAATAGAACTGCTAATATTGATCCTGCTGCTGGGATGCACATCGGGGAACACAAGGACACACCAGGAGAGGAGGAGACAAGGGGGAGTGAGGGGAGAGAAGGGGAAGGGGATAAAGAGGGGGAGAAGAGGACACAAAGAGAGGGAGAAGAGGAGAAAAAGAGGGGGAGAGAAAGAGGAGGAGAGAAAGAGGAGTGGAGGAGAGAAAGGGGGAGAAAACTGGGGAGAGGAGGAGGAGGAGAGAAAGAGGAGTAGAGGAGGAGAAAAGGGGGGAGAGAAAGAGGAAAAGAGGAGAGAAAGGGGGAGAGGAGGGGATAAAGGAAAAGAGGAGGAGAGGAGGGGGCTGGGCGGTGAATTGGGGTGTGTGTAGGGATCTGTGTGTCACGCCCAGTACACCTAGAGGGCACTGCTCTTCTGCCCTGTTCCTAGTTCCCTGTGATTATTCATGTCTTGTTGTGTAGCCTATTTACTTCCTGTGTCTGCTCTGCCCCTCGCTTGTTGTTCGGATGTCCTGAGTCCTGCCTAGCACCAGGTCGCTCCTGTCCGTGGCCTGAGGACACAGGTTTCTATACGGCATTTAGAAACCCGGGCTAACCCCCATCACGCCGCTACGCATAGGGTCTTTTTTCGCACTCCTGCCATTCCACGGCTTGTTCCTTCTGACATCCATGACCCTATATGTGTGTTTGTGTGTAGATCTGTGTGTGTGTAGGGATCTGTGTGTGTGTGTACATCAGTGTGTGTAGGGATTGGTGTGTGTGCATCAGTGAGTGTGTAGGGATCTGTGTGTGTAGGGATCTGCGTGTGTGTACATCAGTGTGTGTGTAGGGATCGGTGTGTGTAGGGATCGGTGTGTGTAGGGATTGGTGTGTGTGTGGATTGGTGTGTGTGCATCAGTGTGTGTGTAGGGATTGGTGTGTGTGGATGAGTGTGTGTGTGGATGAGTGTGTGTGTGGATTGGTGTGTGTGCATCAGTGTGTGTGTAGGGATCGGTGTGTGTGGATGAGTGTGTGTAGGGATCGGTGTGTGTGGATGAGTGTGTGTGTGCATCAGTGTGCAAACACACTGGGGGATTGGTGTCAGAAGCTGCTGTTCTGAACTGCCTCTTCACTCTGATGACTTCATGTCGTTCCCTGTGTCGCTGTGCGTTTATCTCTCAGGGTAAGACAAATTGAAAAGAAGAACAAAGATAAAATCTCTCTGTAATCTTCCCCTCTCTGGACGCAGCGCCGTCAGAGACAGCAGCTGCTCCTCCGGACTCCTCACAGGAGCAGCACTGTCTGTCCCATTTAAGCCATGCTGTCAGACAGCTAGTGAGACTGTACTCACTTTTCCTCCCTCTTACTTTTCTGTCTGCATCCCTCTCCCCCTTCTCCCCTCCTCTGTCCCCCTCCCTCTCCCTGCCTCACACTAGCCGCCTCCCTGCTGCCTCACAAGTTCATCCAGATCCGGCGAGGCAGCCCCGCGGACCGCAGCGAGCGGATCCACCCTGGAGACCGGCTGGAGGGGATCAACGGGCAGTCTGTGCTCTCCCTGCCGCACCGCGAGCTGGCCGAGATCTTCCGCCGCGCCGGGAACACCATCCGGCTGCGGATCGTCCCGCGCAGCAGCACCAGTGAGAGACAGCCCGCTCGC